TTCAGGGTTCAGGGTTTTAGGTTTTTGTATATGTTTGGTCAGGGTTATGTAGAGTTTAGGGTTTAGTCTTACCCTAAGGGTCCAAGTGCCTAATAATCATATACTCTTCTGAATACTAGCCTGCAGAACTACTATCCGTAACCCAAGTACATGATTATTGGGACCTTTGGACCCTTAGGGTAGGGGTTTAGGATGGTTTAGGTCTTTAGGGTTGAGAGGGGACTGTTGTGTTCTGTTAGGGTTTAGGGTTTAGGGTGGAAGATTTGACTGTACTCCAGCGTTCTAAGGTTGATTCAGGATTCTATAGGGTTTAAGGCTCTAGGCAGAAGGTTTCTTCCTAAACCCTAAACCCTAAACCCCTAAACCCTAAACCCTTAACCCTAGGTCAAGGTCTGAAGGTTCCAGGCCGTGGAGGTTAGGTCTGCGTGTAGCTTTTAGTGAATCGTCTTGTGTTTTGGGGTTTAGGGTTTAGGGTTTAGGGCTTAGACTAGGACAATTTCAGGTGGGTAGTTACCGTTATAGGAGCCTTATAGACGGTCTATATACCTTATGGAAGCCTTATAGAAGCCCTCTATATACCCTAAACTCCCCACCTGTAGTTTCCTTGAAGTGAGGGGTTGCAGCTTCGGTTCGAGTGTTTGAGATTTGGGATTTGCGGAAGCCTATGGGTGCGTTGATGCTGAGTTGACTGCACTTGAGGGTCAGGGTATCGTTTAGGATTCTAGTATAGGGGCCTTAATAATTGCCTATAATATGTTTGGGAGTTCCTTATAATATAAGTATAGTAGAACATACCCCAAAACCCTATTCTAATTATGAATGCCCCTACATTGCGCTTTAGGTTCTGGGGTTGTTTGTGGGTTTGAGGTCTTATGGTTCTAGGGGCTTTATCAGAAAGGGACCATGCTACCAACGTCGTGGAAGTTGGCGAAACCAATCTGGGTGATGATCCGAACCTTATCGTCTTGGTGAATTATGTATCCGTCTATATGACACCCTAAGCACAAACCTCAAAATCCTGAACCCCAAACCCCACCATCCCCCCTTCCCTAAGGGTCCATGTGCCCAAATAGTAGGTACTTTTGCCCCAAAGTACCTGTATAGAGACTACTTTAATGCCAAAGTATATACCATTAGAGTACATGGACCCTTAGGGCTTCAGAAGAACCCCTTCAAAACTTCGAAGACCCTAAACCCTAAACCCTAACCCTAAACCCTAAACCCTAAACCCTAAACCCTGAGCTACCAGGAACGCTGTGCTGTCTTCTCTGGATTCGGACTCCTGGCCCTGCGCCCTCGAACTCTTTCAGGGAGCTCGGGCTCTGCACCTCGGATGTGTTTGGCATGGGGCTTACCTAGATCCTAAGGAACCTACCTTTTCAAGGACTTATACACAAGGAAACCATGATAAGGAACCTAACATTTATAGGGTCTACAGTAGGTACTTGCTATCCTATTTTCTGTTTCGAGGTTAAGGCGGTCTGAGCCGTTCTCGATTCCCTAAACCCTAAACCCTATAGGGTTCAGGATTCAGTTCCAAACCCGTGCGGCTGTCTGCAGTTTCGGTTGAGACATCCAGCTTCGGCTCAGGCGCCCGACGGACCCAACTGCTAACCCCAAAGGTTGTTTCAAGGTTTAGGGCTTAGGGCCCTAAACCCTAAACACTACAAGCCCTAAACCCTAAAAAATAGCCTTGAAGGGGTTCCGACTTTTGGGTCAGCGAGGTTCCCAAGAAGGGCAACTTAGTGTGCGAAGACTTTTTAGGGTTTGAGGTTTATGGTTTCTGGTTTGGGGTTTAGGAACCCTGAACCCTGAACCCTAAACCCTAAGCCCTGGCTCTTGATCCAAGGTCCCATAATGGAGATTTCATGGGACCCTCAGAGTTAGTAACAGCATCCCCGTATAGTCCCTACTACGGTTGATGGACGAAATTCTGCATGACCCAAATATAGTATAGTACCATAAATCCCACACTTTAGGTATATAAGGTCATGCAGGATTTTGTCCATCAACAGTATGGTCTTGCAGGTTCCCCAGTCGGCCCTGTCCAGGCAGACTCTGGACAGGGCCTCTACACTTTCAGCTTTGGTCAGTCTTGAAGTAGTTACAAGCTACTTCAGCGCCAAATCCTAAGCCTGAAGCAATACCTAAACCCTAAACCCTAAACTCAAACCTTAAAAATTCCAAACTCCTACCATGACCTCAAGCCCGAGAAGCCCTAGACTTAGGCTCTAAACCCTGAGCCCTAACAGTAAGGGTCCAAAGGACCTAATAGTCATGTACTTGGGTTGCGGACAGTAGTTTTGTAGGTTAGTATTCAGAAGAGTATATGATTATGAAGTACTTGGACCCTTAGGGTAATGCCCAAAGCCTAAACCCTAAACCCTGAGTCCTAAAGCCTAAACCCCTAAACCCTGAGTCCTAAACCGTAAACCTTTAGCCCTAAACCCGAAACCCTTAAACCCGAAGCCCTAAACCATAAACCCCTAAACCCTTAAATTGAAGTTTTAAACTGCCCTGAAACCCCCCTACATGAGCAGGTCGGTTTCGATCACGAGTTCCCTGATCGGCTCCGTGGCGACGAATCTGAAGCCTTCCTCCACCGCTTGGGCGCTCTCTGCAGGCTCCCTTAAAGGATTCCTTGTAAAAGGTTTAGGGTTTAGGGTTTAGGCACAGGGGTTTAGAGGGTTATTTGTTAAGGGTTTCAGGGTTAGGGTACCCATGTCTGCATTTAGGGACCCTAAACCCTAAACCCTAAACCCTAAATCCATTCGGATTTCGGGTGCAGGGTTCAGTGGTTTGGGGTTTCGGGTTTAGGCCCGGATCTTCCAGAATCCTCTCATTCAAGAATAGACCGTACGTAGGGTTTAGGGTTTAGGGTTTAGGCGTAAATCACACTAGGCATCCGACTCTAAGGTATATTCCTTAAATAATGGTTCAAGGGGGGTTCGTGAGACTTGGGTAGGGTTTAGGGTCATGGTCTCTAAATGTTTTGGGGTACCTAGTTTCGCGGTTAGGATCTCAGGGTCATACATCTCCCTTTTTTGGGTGCCCAGTTGTATGGTTGGTATCTGGTTCATTTCAAAGTCTACGTAGGTAGCCTGATCAAGGGGTGGGGCATGACCCTGTAGGTACATGTTCAGGGGCCAGGGTTTTGGGGAATATGATGTAGGGTTTAGGGTTTGGGTCGTATAAAGGGTGTTGGCAGGGTTCGGCAAATCACCAAGAAACTTACATGGTTTCTGGAAGTCTGGGTCGTGGTCCAGATACGAGGCGTCTATGTCCCAAACACCGAGGTTCCCCGGAGCCGCCTCTAAACCCTGAACGTTGAAAGGCTATCCTAAGCCCCTAAAACCCTAAACCCTAAACCCTAACCCCCCTAAACCCTAAAGATTGAAAGGCAACTTAAGTTGAGAGCCCTGCCACTCCCTGGAGCAGGTCCTTTACTATGCAAGCATTTAACGGTTTAGGGTCTAGGGCGTTTAGGGTTTAGGGTTTAGGGTCTAGGGTGTCTTGGGGCTTAGGGTTTTAGGGCTTAGGGTTGAGGGTTTAGCTTAGACCTGAACCCTGAGCCAAGAAACCTGAGTCCGAACTCTTTCGCCCAGACATGTCTTTACACCCCCAGGTGTAGGGTATACCTGGACCCTATAAAACCCTACCTTTTTTTTAGGGATCCCTCAATTGACTTCTGTCTATAGATCCTGAAAAAGACAGGTTCTTTGGGGCTAAGGTTCGATTTGGCCGCGTTGCCTTAAGCCCCTGTGGTCCTGCCTAGCATTTCGTCCTTTCATCAAGGCTCCGGACATTGGGAAACCTTACCCTTCAAGTCGTGCAGGCACCAAGTATTTTCCAAAAGCATTTACCGAGATTGCCATGCCATGCCTTAACCCAAGAAACCCTAAACCCTAAACCCCTAAACCCTAAACCCCAAAACTATTTGGCACTTTGGAACGTTAAGGTCATGGAGTACCGCCCTTCCCGTGAGGGTCCACAGTAGCTGGATAGTTCAATGCAGGGTTCCTATATGGGGGACCCCTCAAAAACTATGCCCGAGGCCTTCTATGGCTCATGAAGGTATATAAGACTCCGGGCAACCCAACGCAGGCATTGTTTATGAACTTCACACTCCAATGCTGGAGCCGCTTTAACCTAAACCCTACACCCTATAGGCCCTAAACCCTAAACCTCATCGTCATAGCGTGGCCTTTGTGTCTTGAGCCTACAGGCCTCCTGCAGCAGGCAAAGGCGCTTCAGGTTCAGACGCATGCATCTGATCAGCAAGCTGAGATGTTCAACGGTTTCGGGTTTAGGGTTT